GGGAGCCAGGACAGAGACGTGCCTCAGGGTGACTCTTTAAATGGCAGTCACTGCAAGTGAAGAGCTACAGGAAAGCAATGGACTGCCATGGGGTGCACCAGGTCCTCACAGGGGCTTCCAGATTTGCCCACTTTGGTATAAAATCCACTTTGGCCTCCCAGAGATTTGAGCATCTGCTGTGCTGCAGACGTTTGGTGGAACCCCAAACCCCACAAATAAAAATTACTCCCCATGGGTTGGCAGGGTTTAGAGCTCAGCACTGCTTGAGCTCGGCTGCTCCAGTCCCAAGACCTGAGACACCATGTGAGAGTCAAAAAGGTCTCAATTCAGACCCTGGCCTGAGGGACACGGTGCCAGAGCAGCAAGAGAGGGAAGAGAGGAAGAGAGGAAGAGCAGGACATCAGAAATCATTGCTCAGAAAAGAGCAGGGAAGGCCATAGCGAGGGTCAGGCCTGAGGCATCATCCCACCCCACCTGGGTTTTGCATCCTCTCCTCTGCTTCTTAATCATCTGTTATTTGAGGGCGAGATTTGTTTTATTAGGGGAAAAAAACCAAAACAAAACACTATTTATGTAGGTGGTTTGCTCTGAGGTGTGTCCGAGACGGGAGGAATCCGAGTTAATTATTATCTGTCAGTGCAGCAGATGGAAAGGGGATGGATTGAGAAGGTCACAAGGCTGGAGATGAGGGATGGGATTGCAGCACCAGGTGCCTGTGAGCAGGATTGGCTCCAGCAGTGTGCTGAGAGCCCAGTCAGGAGGTGGTGGCAGAGGAGGCATTTCCCAGTGGTCCTTAGCAGTGAGGAGGAACTCAGTGCAGGCAGGAGGTCAAAAGGACCTGGACCAAGAGGCAGCAGGGAAGATAGAGACACGCTCACAAGGGGAGCCAGGCCATACCCCCAGAACCCATGGAGGGGATGGAGGGGCAGAGCTGGGCAGTGCAGCACAGCTCACCCTCACCCCCGCTGGATGGAGCTGCTCTCTGCAGTGACCCCAGAAGCCTCTCACTCCCAGCCCCAAGGAGACGTCACGGCCGTGGTTATCAGTGCCAAAGGAAGGGCGTGGGCCGGCCGGGGAGATGTGAGGAGCCCCGCGTTCCTCAGGTGGCCTTTGGGCAAACACAGTGCCTGGGCACGGAGCTCCTTCCTCCCAGGCCCTGTTTACTGACCTGCTGGGCCTGGCCTGGCTGTTATCACTGCTGAGTGCACAGATAGCACCATTAATAAGCACACTGCTGATAGCAGGGGGGCAAACACTGCTCCTAACGTTTACCAGCTTTCTCCCAGCCTGTGAGCAGAGGCAGCTTCTCCGGGGCAGTGATTCCTGTGATCGATCCAGTGACTTGGACTCACCTTCTTCCCAGCACGCTTGCTTACTTAATGATTTAGTTAAACTTGTGTCAATACATTCCAGTAAAATAGCTGCTCTTCTTCAAATTAAGGTCCAAATAAGGAGGATTAACCCATCTCCCAGAGCTTTAAAACTCCTCTGGGTTCAATTTCAGCTCCAAAGCCAAGATAGGGCAAGTCAGGCTAGGAAGGATGCCTCATCTTTGCAACACAGATTGACAAAACTACTGAATCACAGCAGGCACTAGCATTTTATTTCAGACCAATCTTTGAAGGAAAAACCTCCAGTTTCAGCCAAACTTTAGGATACATTCGGAATCATGGCCTCCATTTCCTACTTCTGCATGGCTACCCCAATTTAGGATCATAGCACTGAAAAAGATTAGATTTGTTAATGACTTGCACAGAAATAGTTGGCTTTTAGCCAACAGAGGCCACCAAATGGCTCTTGGGATATCCCAGTTCCCTGCTGATCTCTGGAACAGATTCTGGAAAAGAGCCAGCCCCCTGAAAGAGCTCAATTGCACTCAGGGGATCTCAAAACATGAAAGCAAGGACATCCAGGTAGGCCATCCAGACAGGCTGGAGATGCTGATGCTTTGGGGGAAGGCAGAACAAATCCAAGCATGGGTATTCATGAACACCTGCCCAGACTGGAGCACCTGGGCTCCAGCACAGCCGTGCAAGGGCTTGGTCAGACATTAAACATGACCTTTTGCAGGCAGACATCAAACAATGGCTGCACCAGCACACACCGGGTGTTCTCACCCAGCAGAAATGGGGCCCTTTCAGCCTTGTTTTCCACCCCTTTCGTCACATCCCCACACACGATAACCTGTGCTCCCCCAACCACTCCTACCCCTAATCAGCTTCTTGGGAATTATTTCATGGCTCTGAACTCCCAGCTCATGTGTTTGCCAGCTGTAAGGACCTCAGGGCTTGGGGGTTCATCCTGGGACACACAATTAAGTCCTCTCCTGCCAAGGAGAGGCCCATCCTCTCCTGATGGACCTTTAAATTCACCAGCTCAGAAATGCTGAATCCCTCCTGCCAGCCACAAAACCTGGGGCATCAGCTCACCACAGAGTCCCAAGTGAGAATCAGTTTGTCCTGCAAAAAGAGAGGGATCAAGAACAGCACAGGTTGGACCTAAAGCATCCCTGACCACACTTGGCCGAGACTGTGGGGCTGGCACATGTGGGTCTCACTCTGAAATCAGCATTAGTAAGTTGTAGTTATCACCCTCAAAAGCAGCACCTTTCTGCCAAAAAGGCATCAAACTGGTGTCATTCCTGCACCAGTGCACCTGCACTTTTGGGTAAGATGTGTGCCCTGGATAAAAGCAAAAAGAAATTGTACACGTGAGGGAAAAAAAATAAAATCTTAGGATCTACCTAAAAACAAGGGAGTGGGGAACTCAAATGGGTTTTGGCTGAGGCAGTGTGGGTAAGCACTCCCAACACAAGCCTGTGCCAGGAGATTAGCTCTACACCTGCCTGAGCCATGGCACAAATTAGTCACCACCGTTGTGGTTTTACCAGTTGGCAGAGCTGTTGGTGTGAGGCAACACAGCAGGTGCATAAAGGAGCTGCTCCCCATTGGCTGCCTGTGGCAGATCTGAGAGCTTCCCACTGAGTAATTAATGAAATGACAATAATAGACACAAAGTAAACAAGGTGGAAAGAAAATAAATCAATGGGCTCGGAGCAGAGGCTGCATTTAGTGAGGAGCAGCCCTGACGGCTCCTGTCTGCACCTTGGGTTGACGGAGTCTCCCGTGCATCCTGGTGCCATTCCAGCCACCGGCTTCAGACCGGCTGCACCCGAGGCTGGGCCGGCTCCTCGGGCAGGTAAGGGCTGGGCTGGGCTGGGCTGCTCCCCACAGCACAGCACAGGGGTCAGGGGCTCGGCTCCCTCTGTGGGCAGTCCTGTCTGGGCACTTGGGTGCCTCCTGGTGCAGCCTGAACGGGCTTCCTGCTGATGTTGTGGCCTCTGAGCTCCCTTTGGAGCACTATGGTCCTAGAAGAGAGGAGGGAGATGGGGAAGAGTTTAGGATCAATCTCCACCAAGAGATGTGCCAAGGAACTCAGGGCTTGGGGGCTCATTCTGGGACACACAAATTATTCTTGTCCTTCCATGGAGAGGTTCATCCTCTCCTAATGAACCCTCTAAACTCACCAACTTATAAAGAAATGCTGAATCTCTGCTGCCAGCCACAAAACCCAGAGGAGAAAGGAGGAGGCTCTCCATCTCGAGGTCCCACAAGGCGAAGGGAGCAGGACAAAAAGCCCCTTGCTCTATTGTGCAAGGGGTTTTGCTCAGATACAAGTCAGGGGGTGGATACAAACAGCTAACTAACAGGGAATCCTCAGGGGAGCCCTGAGGGGATTCCATCAGTGTCTGGGGCCACTTGGGGCAGGAGGGTGGAGAGGATGGGCCTCATGGGCACATGGGGCTTCCAGGAGTAGGGGGATTCCAAAGGGGTGTTCAGACATGGATTGGCCCGAGGTTTGAGTGGCAGGGAAGGTTCGGGAACAAAAGGGGCTGGGTTGCCTTGCCAGGCAGGGAAAGAGCTGGAACAAGGGCGGGGAATGGCGTGAGGGACAGCCGTGAGGGAGGGTAAAACCCAGGGGTAAACCAACTCGGGGAGAACAGGGGGGTACAACAGAACAAAACACTTAACAAGGAATCAATAAAATAAATTCGAACGGCAACACTTCACTACAACCAGAGCCACGCTCTGGAATGAAAGCATCTTTCCATGTACCAAATCTATAGAGAGGCTGATGTTGCCTGATTGCTTTATGTCAGCAAGATTTCCCTCTCAAGAGCAGTGCAGCCCTACCAAGATTTTACCGGCAGATGGATGGAAAAGCTCCCCGGCTCTGACTTCAGCCTGGGCCCGTCCCTCCAGCTCCTCCTTGTCAGTGCCCTCACGGCCTTGAGCTTCGAGAGGAAAAGCAAAGAAAAACAGGTACTGATTGTTTCCCAGTCTCGGCCCACCTGGGTGGGAGTTTGGATCTTCTCCCTGCAGCTTATTCCAAGCTTTACAGATCCTTTGTTTATTCTCTCCAACTCTACCACAATTTGTGTGACCATTCAGGGAGCCTGTAACTCTCAGAGCCCAAAAACAGAAGGAAGAGGTTGGATCCATCGACTGAAAATCAAACAGCTCTGAATTTCAAAGCAGGTCTAAGCTTGCTCTTCATTTCCAGCTAATCCTTACGACAACAAGGGGTAAGGAGAAAACCTGAACCCAGGGCTGGAGAAGCTGTGAAAGGTGAGGGTGGGAATGGTTTGAGCACCTCTGGTCCCAGCAGCTCCTGGTACTGTGGGGCAGGTACAGGTATCAGACACCCACATTAATCCCGTGTCTCTGGACAGGTTTTGGCAGAAGGGCCTTTCCCCAGTGCCCTGCAATGACTCTGTTCACTGGGAAAGTTTTAATGCCTAACCTGGGCTAAAAACCAATCTCCTTTTCCCCTTCATCCAGCTTCTGGAGAAGGAAGGAAAAGCTGCAAAGCAAGGAAGGGAGGTTACCACACAGTGAAGTGGCCTTCACAGCAGAGCATACAGCCTCCCATCTCAGCACATGCCCCCTTTAAACCTCCCCTGTTTTCAATGCAGCAGGTGATCCCCAGGCAGATGAGCCATGTCTGACAAGAAAGTCTCCAAGCCCTGCCATCACTGCAAGAGCAGATCAGCATCACTCCCAGCAGACACCACCACAATCCACTATGAGAAGTTCTGGCTGTACCGTCACTGCTCCTCAGTGGAGCAGAGCCACCGGCAAGCTCAGAAGGCTGGGCAGCTCTTCTCAGGGCTGCTGGCCATGAACGTGGTGTTTCTGGGCAGCGCCTTCATCAGCAGCATGATCTTCAACAGGGTGGCCATCACTCTGGCAGATGTCTGGATCCTGCTCTCCGTCCTCAAGGTCTTGTGTGTGTTCTGGATTATTTACTACCTGATGGGCACCAGCCGGAAGCCACACGCCGTGCTCTACAGGGACTCCCACGCCGGACCCATCTGGGTTAGGGGTGAGTTGTGCTTTTATTTTTTCTCTCATGCCTTCTTCCAAAGGCTTGGAAGGCAAAGAAATTCTCCCCCTGTTACTAGAAGAGCTAGAAGCTGTAGGATATGCAGTTAGGGCATTGGGAACTTCCCAGTTCTTGTCAGGCTGATGGGCGCAGTGGGTGCCACAGAGCAGAAGCAGAGCAGCCAGGAAAACCTGAAACTCGGCTTCCCTTCAGCCTCCAGTCAAACTTTGCTCTCTGGTCCCTTCACAAAGAGAAATCCAGGCATAACCCCTTTCCAGGACAGCAACTGAGCACTGTGGGAAAAACCATAGGAAAGGTTTTAGGCAGGAGCACTTCGAGAAGTGTGTTTATCCAAGAGCACCAGTGGCCCTATGTCACCATCATCCTCATTTAACATCACCACAGCCTTATTGCCAGGGAAGGATTCTTACCCATTGAGTCACATCCCAGTGACACCCAGGCTTTCCTGGGAGATTTTCCCTTCAGTATTTGCCCCACTTTGAGAAATTACCCTTCCCGCAGCAGCCCTGCCTCTGGTCTATCGTGGAGTTTTTAATTAGGCACTGTCTTGTTAATTAGGCACTGTCTTGTTAACTAAGCATGGAGAATCAGTTGAAGGAAGCTGCAAAGTACTTGTGTACCTAAAGCTGCAGAGGCATGTCCAAGGCAAAAGGGAGAAACAGTCAAAGGGTTCCAACTACTGCAGATGGGACTGCTACAAGCCTTAGCAGACTTGTGGTCATTGCAGGTTTCCTCCACAAGGCAGAAAGCTTGACTCACCATTAACTTACCCCTGTCATTTCAGGTTGTACAGAAAAGCCCCAAACCCCCATCCCCACCTTCATCCAAGCACAAGAAAATACTTTGCATTTTCCTAACACCTTTAACCAGTCAAAGCACGCAGTCAGGTTCAGGACAAAGGCTCTCCTTTGTCCTCCTCTCCTCAAATCATAAGAATTCCAGGAGAAAGACTGCCAGCTCCACACAAATCCAAGAAGCACAAGGCCCCCTATCCCCAGACAAGCTCAGATGCTCAACAGACATATCTGGGTTTATTTACTGGTCCTTTGCTCTTTGTGCAGGGTCAGTGCTGCTGTTTGGCAGTTGCAGCATCCTCCTGAATGTGTTTGAGATTGGCTACAGCACAATCCTTGTCCGCTGCAAATCCAATGTGGAAATTTTGTTCCCTGTCATTGCAATCCTTTTTATTGGCACCCAGGTACTGCACATTACCCTTCTGTAAGCTTGTCTGTTCTCTCTGTCCCTTTCCTGGGAGCTCCAGGGCTGGGGGGAAGCTGGGAGATGTGGGAAGGTGAACGAACATGGGGCATTCTCCTGAGCACTGAAAGCATTAAAGCATCACACACCACTTCAAATGCTACCTGCACTCCCTCCCTGTGTGCCACCTAGAGAGACAGGGGAGAAAGATTCAAAAATTACCCTAGAAATACCTGACATACCATAGGATCCAGAGGAATTTGCTTTGAAACAAAGTAAGAAGAGAGGAAATTTCACATTTTGCCAGAGATGTCTTTGCACCAGTCTGTGCCTCAGCTCCTCTTTGTACTTGCCAATCCATCCACCCAACAAAATCCTTTCCACACAAAGATATCTCACACCATTTTCACCTTGTTATTCAACACCACCCTTCTTCTTTACAGACCCAAAGCCATATTTGAAAAGTAAACTAATTCCCACCTCAACAGCAAATTCCCACATGAACAGGACAGAGGAACACAGAGCTCCGGGATGTGCATTCACTGCAGTCACACATAAATGCTGCCCTTACCCAAGGATGCCAGCACCTGCCTCAGCACTGGGGTGCAGGTGCACACATGGCCCTGCACCCTCACACAGAGGCAGCTTTGCTCCTGCTTGGACCTGTACCTTCTTTTCTACCTGTTTCTTTCCACCATGTGTGCAGCCAGCTGCCAACTTCACCCTGCTCACAGTGTTATTCTTCTCCACTTGCAGATTTACTTTCTGTGGCATCACTCTAAGGACTGCATTCAAGTCCAGCACAACTTCACCAGGTAAAAAACAAGGACAAAAAATGCCTTCTACTGCTCTAAAAACACTTTTCCTTTCTGCCTGTGATGTCCATTATGATTCCTGCTAGAAATGTGTGCATCTGATCCTATACAGACCTTATATTTTGGGTCACACAGGAACCAAACTATGTGTTGTTCAGACCCATCCTCCCTCCACTGAACTGAGCTCACCAGCTCCCTTCAGTTTTCCTTTGTGCCTTGGAATGCTGCAAAGCTTCTTCCTTCCTCCCAAACGTCTTCCTACTGCCTGTCTCAGGCACCAGCTCACAGACTGGAGGATGGGGGGGGGGGGGGGTCTCCCCATTCCTGTTACTGGGAGATGTTCCAGCTGAGGCCAGTTTCACCAGGCACTGCCTGCCCTGCTCCTTTGTAAATGGCAAGTGGGAATATGCTCAGGTGTGTTTATGCAAAGCCACACCCCACGGGCCTCAGGTAGAGCGGGCACAAATCTGTGCTCAAATCTGTGCATGGGCCAGCGAGAGGGGAAGGACACGCTGGCTGTGAACCATCTGCAGACATTGTACAAGTCCTGTGTCTCCTCCCAGGTGTGGGCTGATGGTCGCCATAGCCACCAACCTTCTGGAATGGCTCCTGTCCGTGACCAACGACTCCCTGCACATGGAGATGGAGTCTCAGCTGCGTGAGGTGGAGCAGCGATTCATAGGCAAGGCTCCTTCTTCCCATCCCCATTGGTGTTAGGCTGACACAGGTGACTTCTAGGGAAACATTTCACAGAATCACAGAATATACTGAGTTGGAAGGGACCCACAAAGATCAGCAAGCCCAGTTCTTGGCCCTGTACAGGACCATTCCCAAGTAGTCCACTGTGTGCCCCAGAGTATTGTCCAACACTTCTGAACTCTGTCAGGCTTGGTGCTGGTGCACTTCTCTGGAGACCCTCTGGGTCTCAGTGATTCAGATATCTCCAGTTCCCCCAAATGCTGCAACTTCCCTATTATTGGAGGTTGTCTCGAGGAAGTGGGCTGCAAGGGGAGAAGATCTTCACCTGGAGGGAGGGGATCTGCTGTGAAGCCCTAAAACTGAGGTCTAGGAAAGGAAAAGCCCACCATGAATTAGCATTTTTGCTCACTTTTTCCTACTAACTGCAAGCACAGGATTGCCAGACTAGAAGAGGCTCATGTAATTGCTGTGGTCATCTTTGTGAGGATATAGAGGAGTAAAGGGGAGTCTAATATTCCAGGGGGAGAAACAGAGAAGGCTTTGTTGTGAAGGAAGAGGAGTCTCTCATCCAGTACCTGTGGTGTTGACCATAGATAGGAAAAGACATTAGCTAAGCTGTGTTATTCTGAATCCTCATATACTTCAGGACTGAGCAGTAGCCAAATAACTTCCTTGTGATCCCTGTTTCTGAGGCACAGACACACATGTTGTGCCTGTACTCAAGAAACTCCCAAAGACAGCCGTGACATCCAGGTCATCCCTCTCTTAATTGTCACCTTCCTCTTCTCAAGCTCCAGGCAATGAGAGTGCCTTGTGCATATGCCCAAACACGACCATCTGCAGAATCTTCCAGAAGGGCTACATCCTGCTCTACCCCTTCAACACCGAGTACAGCCTGGTCTGCTCCTCCATGCTCTACGTCATATGGAAGAACGTGGGGAGAAGCATCAGCCACCACCACAACCTGGAAAAGAGGCCCAAATTCAAGCTCAAGGGAGTGCTCTTTGGACCTGTGCTGGGCACCAGTGCTGTAATCATCGGGGCTTGTGTTTTCATGATGTACCAGATCCAGGCCACCAGCTTGGACCCCAGCCGCCAGGTCCTTGTGATCTATTTTACCTACTACATTGTGCTCCTGCCCCTGATGAGTGTGTGTGCCGTGGCTGGGACACTCGTCCATGCCTTGGAAAAAAAGGAGCTGGACACGGTGCAAAACCCAACCCGCAGCCTGGACGTGGTCCTGCTGATGGCCGCGGCCCTTGGCCAAATCTGCATGTCCTACTTCTCCATTGTGGCCCTGGTGGCCAGCAACCGCAGAGACCTGCTGAACAGGCTTGCCCTGGCCTACTCTGTGCTCATTATCCTTCAGAACATCACCCAGAATGTTTTTGTCATCGATGGGCTCCACCGGCGGCACGTTGTAGCTGAGGCCAAGCATGCCAGGCGCTGCGAGCAGCACACGGTGGCTGCAGAGCTGCCTGGGGAAGAGGAGAGCACGCAGGACAGAGTACAGGAGCACAGCCAGACACCTCCTGCCAAGGAGGAAAAGGAGGAAGACACTAAAGAAGTGCAGAATTGTGAAGCCTGCCGCCAGAGACGAATGAGCGTGCTGGAGCTGGGACAGGAGATCCGGAAAGTTTCCCTGTCCTACATCCAGACCTACTCTCACCTGACCTGGAAGAGAAGAGTATTGAGGGAGATCTCATTCTTCTTAGTTCTGAGCAACATCATAGTAAGTATTGTGCTCTCTGCTCTGTCACAGCTCCGGCTGAGCCACGGTGACCTGTGACACAGACGTGACCTCTTTGTATTTCTCTGTATTCCAAACAAAAAACCTTTGCCCACCAAGCCTCAAGTACTGGTGAGGAAAGCCAAGACTGGTTTTGCTGATAATACCCCACCCTCATAATTAGAAAGTCTCTCTTTTACCCTTAGAGTCAAGTATTACTGTGTTTCATGGGAGGAGACAGCTACTGAGTCCTTACTAGCCAAGATTTTAGCCTCTGAAAAAACCCCCACTAGGTTTATTAAGGGTGTTTCATGAGAAACATGAAAGAAAATGTCAGGTACCAGCATTAAGTCTCTGTAAACATGAGTGTCCAGGCTTGAAACTCACACAATAAAGTACACTGTGGTCTGGGATCTTGAATCAACATTGCAGCCTTAATCCAGTGAAAACCCATTGCCCAGGGAAACAATGAAACCCCATAGAAAGAGAAGCAGGCTGGGGCAGAATGGGGCTGTCTTTAGGTTTACAGGGATTCAACAGGATTTGAATTAGAGCAAGGAGTCAACAGCATAACTCTGGGATTTTCCTTCTCCTCGCTGGCAAGGTGACTACTGTGATACTCCTAAAATATTCCTACAGCTCTTGAGCCAGTGCTGAGATTAGGGTGTAAGTAGGGGACAGTTTGTCATCCTCTGACTTGTGTCTCTTTCCCTCACATCTCTCCAGCTGTGGATCATGCCCACATTTGGGTCTCACCCCCTCTTCGAGAATGGAATGGAAAGGTCATTTTATGGCTACTCCACCTGGTTTGTGATCGTGAACTTCGGCCTCCCCTTGGCTGTGTTTTACCGCATGCACTCCATCGGGGCGCTCCTGGAGGTCTACGTGACAGCCTGAGCCAAGCTGGACCCCCTCCCCAGGGGCTGGGGAGAATCAGTGATGCTGAACAAAGATGCAGTAAGCAGTAGATATGCACATGGAAGCTTCTAAGACGTTTTCCCTCCAGTTTCTGCTTGGACTTCTTGTACAACATCACAGTGACTTTCAGAAGAGGTTCTTTAATGTTGTCCTTTTCCACCATAGAGAATAGACTCAAAGCCCATAAACAAACTCTCACTGCTCTCAGGAATCACACATGCAGTCAGCAGTCTGCCAGTGGATGCTGTTTGGCAGCAAATGGGACTTTACCAACTCCTATTGAGATCACCCAGATAAAAGAATGCAAGGGCAGCCTTCAGCAAAAGCAATGAAGACTGGCGTACACCAATTCAGAAAATCAAAAGCAATCAAAAAATAAAAGCTATTACATGACCTTGCCTTACTGAGAATAAACACTTCTTCTTCCTACAGGCACTCCCAGAGGTAGGAATCACTATGGAAGCACTGTGGGTGATCTTTATACACCACTGATGATGTTATCACTGGTGTGGACTAGCCAAGGTCCCATCCTTGTACAAGGGCTAGTTCAAGAGCAAGCCACTGCCACATCCACTGTGAATCTTTCCCCATCCCAACACATTGGCCCTTGCTGCTGCCTTGCACACCCACAAACCTTTCTTGAGGTCACCATGCACAAAGGAAGGCAGCTGCAGAGGTGCCTGATCAAAGACCCATTGGGATGTGTTCCATAGGGATGCTTGCTTTGAAAGCATGTGGGAGAGCAAGGGGCTTGTGACTATGGGTCCAAATCCAGAGCTGATGAACTAAAATAAAAGAGATTGAGTTTCCATGTGTGTCTTGTGAAATCTCTGGGTCTGCTCAAGGTCAGCTCACTTAAATTGCTCTTACATTCAGAGGTTGTGTGGGGCTCTGAGCAACCTGGCCTTGAGGAAGGAATTCCTGCCCATGGCAGATGAGCTTTATGGTCCCTTCCAACCCAAACCATTCTGGGATTCTCAATCAAAATCTGTCATGACCCTTACCCAACCGTGGCACAAAAGGCATTCTCATTATTGCTTCTGTTCCTTTGTAAATGAATCCCAGGATCAGTGTGGGTTTAGGATTAGAGCCCATTTATGGGGGTTTTTTGGGATTTGCTAGTAAAGCAAACTCTCCCAAGACAGTAACAGTGAGGATTCAGCATTGAGGCAGTTTTCCTTTCTGTAAAACTCTAAGTGAGACTGATTGCATGAGCATGAACTTTGCCCAATAAGTGTTTGTATTTGGGCCCATGTCAACAGAAATATGTCATGAGAAATAACAGCTGGATAAATTAGGCTCCAATAAAGTTAATTATTATTCTCATGTCAGTGTTTGTACCATGGGATCCACAGGACATACATGCTAACGTCTGACCTCAATCCTTCTTTGTAGTGATTGACAGCCTGGGCACAAGGAGAGATGGCACTTTGTGGGCAAACATGACTTGGATTTTATCCAGTTTAATGGATAAAACACTGGTTTAAGTTACTGAGCTTTCACAGAGCAGGTGACTTTGGAATGAACACTGAATACATGACTGAAGACATGATCAGCATGGACAGGAATGAAGCCCACCAGCTCCAACTCTCACCTACAGCCACCACAGATCAGATAAACAGTCAAGGCCCTCCATGTCCTTTCCTAACAGCCCCTAGGGCCAGGGTGCCTGTTTTACAGGTCTCAACTGCACAAAGGTTGTAGCACATGGTTCACTAACTCAGGAGACTTGATCCTGTTTGATCTTTGATGATGCTATAAACACAGAAATGGCCAAACCCACACAATTCAGGCTCATTTCCCAGAGTCAAATCTTCATTTTTGATTATAAAAAAAATTACCACTGCAGAGGAAGCCAGCCCACGGTCCACTAGTGGCACAAAAAAAAAACCTCAACATAAAACAAACAAGATTATAAACCTCCCTCTGCGGAAGGAGAAAAAAAAAGTACCCAAGTGCATGTTTCAGTTATCTTTATCTTTCTGTCCATAAGTAAGCAAAGAGTTTACAGTGCAAGTTGATTTCCACAGAACAAGGATCAGACTCCAAACACCAAGAAACAAACAAAAAGGCTTCCAGAGGAATTCACAAAGAAATAAAGCAGAAAAGAGAGGACGGAAGAGATCATGAGAAGCAGCAGATCCATGGGAGGGAAGAGGCAAAGCACGTGGGACACAGGAGGCCCCATTCCAGCTGTGAGGTGCGAGTGCCATACAATCAGAGTGTGGCCCCACCAAATCACATTCTTATACATGAGATTCTCCAAGTGAAACAGACCCTGTTTACACCTGAACAGAGGTGGGGTCAGGGTGGGAGTAGTGCTGGGTGGCAAAGGGGGTTGGAGGTGGGAGGCAGATGGGGGAATAACCTCTCTCTATTTCACATATTTCTTACCCTTCAGAAAACCATTCTGATTTTATTTCACTTTCTACTGGCCTGGGACTCCATTCTCTCTCAGTGACCAGAGGAGGAAACCACCTGACTGGAGGCCAGTGGGAGCCAGCAGCACACTGCAGCAGCTCTCTGGGAGAGGATGGCCGTGCTGTTACCACCGCAGCTGCGAGGGTTAGGCCAGGGTTACAAGTCACAGAGTGTGTCACACTGTCCCTGTACTTCATGTGACCGACCTGTTTCCATGCAGTGACACCACTGGGCCTAACCTGTGGCAAACAGCTCATGACCAGCAATCCTCCCAAGAGCTTGAATAAAAGAGCACCAAGGATTATGCTTTGATGGAAAGGTCTCAGTTCATGACAGGACCCCTCACATTTCATTGCCTAAAGACCACGTGGGTCTAAGACAGCAGCCCCTCCCAGCAGAACATAACATTTGACTCAAACCTCAAGAGTGTCTCCACTCACCAATGTGTAACCCCACGATGCTAAAGCAAGCCAGCTACAGCAGATCTCCCACCAGTTTCCATTCTGGCTTCCCAAACTTTACACATGCTTGGGACCCAATACATTCAAGATCCAATAACTTGGTCAATAAGCAAAATGCCCTGAAGAATTCAACTTTGCCTCAGCACTCTCCACTCCCTACTGACATGGAGATGCTTTTCCTCCTACAACTTCCAAATTCCTCCTACAACTTCCCTGAGTGGCTCCCTCAAACCCTTGCCTTAGCAGTAGTGTGCAAAAGACCGTTCTGCTCCCTGCATTGCATCAGCCTGCCAGGCAAAGATGGAAGGATATGGTTCCTTTCAAATCCAGGTGACGGTGTCCTTTCAGCCAGTGGGAGAAAACTTAAAAGAGTTTAAGTCAGGTCTCTTCTCCTTGCCCTCACTGAGCCAGTCCCTTCCTCCCTGTGTGCTCACATGGATTAAAAAGGGCTTTTAAAAGTAAGACAGGCTCCTTTGCAACAGTCCACCATGAAGGACAGGCTGCTGGGCTTGGAAGCCAAGGAAAAACTTCTGACCCACACCAACAAAACTTCTCAAGCAGCTTTCCAGGAAAGGACTAGAGAGATTCAGAACTGAGACACAAAGTTCTCCTTCAACATCATTTAGGTGGGAAAGACTTCCCTATATGCAACAGAGACACCAGGGAGACACCTGCAGCCAGAAGGGGTGCCTTGGAAACTTTATGGAGCTACATGGAAGTAACTGCAGTTTCCAAACCCTGTCTCCTGCAGGAATAGCAGCTTCTCCCTTTGCACCTAATTTACAGCTAGTCTTTTTCAATTAAATGCTGACTCTGACCAGGGCAAGGACAGGGTCAGATTGGTTTCCAAACCACATCCAGAAGCAAAAGAGTAACAGAGGAGCTAAGAACAGTCTTGATTTCTAGTGCAACCACAACAATGGACAATCCCTTAGATATCTTTTACTCAAGGTTCGTGGTGAAAGGTGAGGGAAGAGAAGTGAGCTGGGGGGAGGGATGCCCAAGCAGGTCCCGATTAAAGCTTTAAATGACAGGGAGGTAAATGAAGTGATTGTCCTTTTGGTCTCTCAGCTGGACGTGAAATGCAGGAATAGCTGTGATGAAGCAGCACACCACAGTCCTTAGATCCAGTGTATTTCTCTCAGTAGAGGTAAGTGTTCTCTTCAGACCCGTTGAATTTCAAACAGCTTAACATCTGTGTCATACCAGATGGGGGGATCCACATTCCTGAGACAGAAAGACAAGAGCCACTTTACTCCCTGAGGCCAGTTACATAGAATTCAAATCTCACAGCCATGATTACAGGAGCTGGCTGCCCAGCGGTGCCTTCAGCTTTGCATAAAAGGAAATCACTGGTTGAGAGACAACACACCTTACAGGGATGACAGTATCTACAACATCCCACAAAGCCAGAGCTTTGCATAAAATCTCTGCACCAGACCCTCTGGGCAGTTTTTCTATTCCCTGCTGCTGCCAGTTCCTAAACAAGCAGCACTCCCAGAATAACCCCCTTCATGTCACCCACTCAAAGTTTAGGAGCAGCTGATACACCCAAGGGAAAAACATCTTCCTATCCTGTAAATATGAGATAAGCCAGGGCTGGCTGAGGGCATGCAATTATCTCTGTAGGCCTCCCAAAAGTCTGGAAAAGACCAAGCCAGGCTGCACCCAGCTGCTTTACCTCAAATAAATAACTCCCCACATGTAGGTGCGGAACCACATGGCAGTGCCCGAGTTGGCCTGGTACTTGCGGATGAGGATGGGGTGAGGCACTGGCAGCAGCCCCACCAAGGTGCCATGCTGCAGGAACTTGAGGATCTCTGACTCATCCGTGAGACCCCTGCCAAGACACAGACCAGGAGCATCCTTAGCATGTCCCACAGACACCTCCAAAAGTGCTGCAGCATGAAGGACCAGCCTAAACAAACACAGACACTGAGCTGTGGCCCAGGAGAACACACCCCCTCTGTCGCAGACATTTTTTCACAGAAATCCTTTTCTTTGGGATTTGTGCATCTTCTGGGAAGCAAAAGCCCCAGAAGAAGAATGTAAACAATTGTTATCAGCTGCTGTGACATGCAATAGGATGCACCTTTG